TCTTTATTCTTAATCTGACCCAGATTAAGTCTTTGACAAAACGCGTATTTCATTTTCTCAGCTTTTTGTTTGAAATGTTGTTTTTTGGATGAAACTTACCCACATTCAATTTTTAATAATAATAAATAAAAAAAATTACTGAGCTAGAATATTTGTTTGTTTGTTTAAAGGCAGAAGCTCCGTTTTTTCTTTTATTATTTTCACTGTTATATTCACACAACAAAATATTGTCACAAATGCTGGTGCTGGCTGGCAACTTAAAAATGAATGCTATAGCGGGGAAAGAGTTAACATGCCAAGACTATTTCGAGAGTTGTCAATATTGAAATTCTGTTATAATTGACTAATAATTAAACAGCTGATGTTTTGCCCATTTAATAAAAATTACTCCACTGACTTAAATTGGTATAAACATTTTTCAAAACATCTTTGTGTTCCATAAAAGGTTTCTGACATGAAGAAGGAATGACGTGAGGATGTATAAATGGTGGCAGAATCGTTTACACGACACCATTTTCAACTACAAACGGAAAACTTTATATGCATTTTGGGCGTTTGGTTACACGACAACAGTGTTTTGGGGGCCTGAAAATGCTAATTTTTAAAAACGGGAATCAAAGTGCACGTTTTTGAAAACAATACTGTTATTGTCTCCGTGTAAACTACAAAATGTGTGAAAAAACTGACGTCGTGAGCATGTGTATTACATGTTCAGTCCATAGACAGTATAAGAAGTGGACAGAGCCATCTCATTGGACCTCAGTTGAAGCCCATTTTTAGCGATTTTTGAGCACTTCCGTTCCTGACGCGCAGACTCAAACCGACTCAAACTAAGCTTGATGACGTGAGCAACCTGTCTGACAGACGTTAATCTTCTAGTAGCTGTGCGTGAAAATGGCCAACGTTAATCTTGCAGAGACGGGGAACTTGAGCAAAGAGTTCTTTGGCGTGAGTGAGCAGGAGTAAGTATTCCGTTGCTTTTATGGACTCATTATCTGGGCTTCTCCCTTGACGGGACGTCCCCCCAATTGCCTGCGAGCTTCTCCTCCTGTCTGTACGGTAATTTCTGTACAGCGCGACAGAGAGTCGAGTGGTTATGACGCAATCGTTAGCCTATTTTTACAAAAACTGTTTCTACGGGGCCATAATGTAACATAGAAGGTAATGGAGCCCTTTATACATTGTCGTGTTTCTCTAGAAATAAATAATGGACAAATGGAGTCTTTAAACGCCTCAGATGTAAAGTTATTCGCTGTCAAAGTGACGCCAAAATGAATGGGAGTCAATGGAAATGCTAACGCAAGTGAAGTTCTGCTACAACATGGCGGCACTCAGCCAGCTCATAGACAGTAAAAGAAATGGACACAGCGACCCCGTTGATTTCAACGGAGAGAGTTGAAGCCCAACATGGGCACTCACTTCCTGATAGCCAAGCGTTCTGCGCAGGTTCAAACTGAGCTTGACGACTTAGTTGTCACGTGAGCAACCGTTCTGACCTTCTAGTAGCTGTGCCGGGACAAATCTGAATTGAAATCTGAAACAAATCTGTTGTTGAAATATTTTTTTTCCCGTTGCTTTTATGAACTCTCTATCTATGGGCTTCTCCCTTGACTTTATGCCTCCATGTCCACCCGATTGCCTCATAGACAGTAAACGATTGCCGACGAGCTTCTACTTCTGTCTATACGGTAATTTCTCTACTGTGCGACAGAGCGTCCCGTGGTTATGACGCAATCGTTAGCCTATTTTTACAAGAATGGCTTCTACGGGGCCAAAACGTATACAAAGTAATGGAGCCTTTTATACATTGTCGTGTTTCTTTAGAAATAAATAATGGACAAATGGAGTCTTTGGACGCCTCAGATGTAAAGTTATTCGCTGTCAAAGTGACGCCAAAATGAATGGGAGTCAATGGGATGCTAACAGCAGGTGATAGCCAGCTACAATGGCGGCCCCCGGAGGCAGCTTCAACTTCCGGCTGATGGATTACCCCCTTGGTTCAGTCTAAAGGTGTGTAGTGTTTCTTTACAAAGTGACATTGCCATCTACTGGCCTGGCATGCATTATACAGCATTTTAGTCGTTTTCGCAGATGTGAACGGGGATTATTTTTTAGTACATCGTTGTCATGCAAACATACCCTTATTTAACTAATGCTTTAATGTTCCTTTCTTTGTTGCATTCTGGTCAGAGTGTCAGCCCATTGTGGTTTTCCCACTGGTTCCTTAGAGATATTCAAGGAGTGATAAGTAAAAAAGAAAGAAAGAAATAACACAAATTGACAATGCAGCAAGACTTCTAAATATCCCAGAAGCAGCTATATTAATGGGAGACACCAACAAAACATGCTTCTATTGTGCGAATACAAAGCAGCCTCTATAAAGGATTGTTATTCTATTGCTGCACATAGGACATGCTGCACTCCTTCATGCATTGCTAATGTAATGCCTGTAGTGCTCCATTTCCAAACATGCCTGATGCCTTATGCTGTCTTTTGCATATACACACACACACAAGGGCCAATCTCACACACACAGAAACCTGCACCTCACAGGTCATGTCTTCTCCAGTGAGTGCACACATGCACACGCTTTCAGCAGTCCTGCATCTTTACTTGCAACACAGTATCTCAAATGCCAACACAATAATACATAATTATAGGGGAAGTGCATTTCAGAAGCACTTGTCTTCACAAAGTACCCAATAAAAAGCTCAGAGCTATCTCTCTTGGTCTATCACATCTCGTTTTGCCTTTATCCGCTTGAATGCTGGAGTGCCTGCTTGACGAGGCATCGCGAACGAACGGAGGATTTAGAAGATGAGAGATTCAGTGTGTGTGTGTGTGTGTGCATGTGTGGGGAGGGGATTAATATTCTGAATTGTGGAAGCAGATGGGATTTTTTTTTCCACTATTGTCTGCCGTAGACCTCTCAGCGTAACACGATCGTGTAATTGAAACCACATCCATTATTGCATGCAGAAAAGTGAGAAGCTGCGGTGCAATACATAGTGTTCCACTGCCTTCTGCACTTTGCATTACGACATTTCTACATGCACATTTTTTTAGCCGAAGCAACTAATGAAAAATGAGTTAAATCAACTCAAAACAGTACTTTGGCTGTTCTTGCCCATAATAACATTATAATGGAAGTGTACAAGCCCTGTGGAGTCAATCAACACCTTTGACTTGCTCAGCTGAGAGTATTGATTTATGTTCTGTGGTAAAGAGACCCTTTAGAAGACAATCATAAACATGCTTGAAGAAGGCCAACTGAGACGAGAAACGCAGTTCATTTGCGTGTAATACACACGCACCTCACACCACTAATTCTACCCAAACATATAATATACACACACACCCCACACCACTACTAAACCTACCCTAACCAACCCCTTCGTATCCTATGCACGTAAAAACTCATTTTCGCATATAAATTGCACAATAAACACACTGCGTGCTATAGAGACGCATTTAGTGTGATCGGGTTGCTGCAAACACATATTAATATGTGTGTATCCACAGCCCACTAGATTTATGAGCCTAAATGTTTAGAGGCCCTGCCCATCAAGACGAATCTGTCTCACTGTGATCAATGAACAAGTCTTAAAAGAAACAGTTCACCCAAATTCATAATTTATTTGTATGACATTCTTGCATGTGGAACACAAAAGAAGAGATTTTGAAGAGTCCAAATGACATTGGACCACACTGAATTTCATTGTGAAATCCCCCCCACCCCCACCCCACACACACATTTTTCAAAATATCTTCTCTAAGTAAATGGTAACAGAATTTTCATTTTGGGGTGAACTGTCCCTTTAAATCTTATTAAAAACATAGTAGACATTTCATTCCCTTTTAGTTTAGTTTGACATAAGCAGTTTTGTGCAAAATATTTACAGCTCTCTCACACTCAGTCGCACACATATTCAAAACTGTACGAGTCAGAATGGCCCATGCACTGCAGGGAGATGATATTCACAGATGTGGATCATTTTTAGATTATGAAGAATCCAAACTCATGACACTAGCAAAAATATTGCAAAGCATCGACAAAAAAATAAGATATATTCTCTGTCACCAACACTTAGCTTTCACAGTCACACTGTGCAGATATAACACTACTTTATAACAACTTACTTTTTTTACATATGCAGGCTTTTCAAATCAGCAACAAATGTCATTAAACTACGGGCCGATATTCTTATGTGAGTTTTGTAACATGAGGGCGAATAATGAGTTAAAGGGGTAAAATCACTATATATTATTAACCCTCTTGATTGAAGTGACCATAGAAAAGGATTTACGGTATAGGCTAAATTTTAAACAACTAAATTTGATTACCCCAATAAATCCATGTAGAGCTACAAAATGTTAAAAATCTGTTTTACATTGGTGTTACAACTCACTCCAGTATGGGGTAAGTTGTAACACCAGCGTTGTTTGTACTTATTATAATAATATTTGAATTTATAGCAGACAAATATGGGAATATTTTATTTAGGGTTGCACCGCTATGAACATTTTGGCTGATAACCGATAATTCTTTATATTTGAAAGTCGATAACCGATATATTGGCTATTAAATCTAAATCCAAATTTTAGCCTATATGACTGACTTGCTCTGTGCATGTTGCACTTAATGTATTTTCCTTTTTGAAGTGATTTCAATCATATTTCAAGCAATTCAAAAACATCATGGCGAACAGTGCACATGTGAAGTGTCTCAGCTGAATGAAATAATCCATATCTGCTTTAATATATCGGCCAAATCTTCCTATCAGGCCCATAACAATAACATAAAAAATGAACATATATCAGTCAATACCGATATATGTGTTTTATTAAAGTTTGAATGTATAAAGGTGCTAGAGTTAAAGATGTTAAAACAAGTGTTACACACCGCTCCTGAACTTCTGATGTTTTGGTGCTGAAAGTTATTTTAAAGTGTCACCAAATGAACTTTTATTTCTTGTTCGCTTTTCTTATGAGCTACTTACCGCCTGTTCAATGGCGCATCTTTCTTTTGCTTTTTATTCATCACAGCAGGAACACAGGTCGTGAGCTCGGTCCAGTCCGCGTGCAAACCGCAACTCCAGCCCGTGGAGAAGCGCGAGAAGAGCCACGACTCCGCTTTCCCGGGACGGTGGCACGTGCATTTCTTCTGGCCGGAGTGGCAGTCGCACGGGCGTTCCAGGTGGATGTTCCGCACCAGGTGTCTCCCGAACGTCGTTCCTCCGGTCTTTTGGATGTGGAGGAACACGATCACGTCGTTTCCCTTGATGTCGAAATCCACGTGGCGTTCGAGGTCTTCGCGCGTGAAGTTGAATTTGGACTGGAATCTAAACGAACCGTCCTCGTCCGGATCCGGAGGCTCTCGGGGATATTTGGAGAACGGAAAACTCTCTCCATTCCCAAACCGACAGGACGTGCTCCCAGCTGGACAGATGTACTGATAGCCGATCATGACAAATAAAACGGTCAAAACAGGAACTAAAAGGAGTTTGTTGGATTTATCATCCATTGCAGTGACAATGAACCGGAGGATCACGCCATTGGTGATGCTGTAGCCGCTGAATGAGTCCTTCAGGTGCTTTATACGGATGATGCTCTCAGGCAAAGTCTGATCCGGCACGGAACAAGAACACAGCGCCTTTAGTTAGATCATAGTTACATAAAGGTCAGTTGGACTGGAAAAATTGTAGACAGAATGGAAAAACAAGCCTTGCGTTTCCTCATACTAAACTTGGAAATGACGCTTTACAAGCAGCTTAATAAACTACCTGATATTACAAATAGTGCAGGACTTTGAAAACCCATTTGCAGTGCTGATTTTCTTAATGTTTGACGTCAATTGTGCCCGTCCTCGCCCCATAGATTATAACGTAAGGCTTGGCAGGGGAGATCCGGACTCCTCGCAAAACACATGCAGATATCCGTTCCGTCGCTGTGAGCGGCAGCGCTGAATTATTGCACGGCTTTAATGCGGGTTCCTCTGAGATGAGCTTTAGGAAGTTGAGTTCCTGTTGCAACTTGCTCATAGAGAGAGAGAGAGAGAGAGAGAGAGAGAGAGAGAGAGAGAGAGAGAGAGAGAGAGAGAGAGAGAGAGAGAGAGAGAGAGAGAGTGAGTCAGTGGGTGCATTGGATGAGAGCAACATATTGGGTCTATCTGACTGATCTTTCATTCAAAAGCAACTAAAATTGGGCAAATGTAGAAATAGGTGGGTAAAGTGTGCTGTCAATTCGATTAATCGCGAAAAATGATATATGTGAATGTATACATACACATAGCTATTATATAAACAAACCTTTATGTTAGATGTGATTAGCACGATTAATCAAAATTGAAAAAAAAGTGGGAGAGTCAGGCTTCATTCCCATTATGTCCATATGAGTTTGCTTAAATTGTTAAAAGTAATTACTAAATAGAGCTTTTGGAAGCAAATAAGTTGTCACATCGAGGGGATGTGGCAGTGCGCAATTCACACCACTGGCGGGAAGGACAGGTAAATCACAGAGATCTGAGGTAAAACCTTAATGTAATGTCATAAAGTAAAAGATCATTTAATGTTATAAAAGGAAAGATGATTAAGACAATGAGCAAGATGTTTTTAAATCAGAGAAGGGAGAAGTGAAGGGGGGTATAGGAAATGTTTCATAATAATGAATATTTGAAGGAGCATATTATTTTTTTATTTAAAGGGATGGTTGATTATGATTTCACTTTTCTAACTTTAGTTAGTGTGTAATGTTGCTGTTTGAGCATAAACAACATCTGCAAAAGTTACAATGCTCAAAGTTCAAAGCAAAGGGAGACATTTTCATTTAAAGAAATTGCTTTTTAAGGACTACGACTGGTAGGAACTACAAGAGCTTCCTCCCGGGTTAGTGACATCACGAACCCTAAAATTTACATAACTGCCCGATTTATAGATTATAATGACAGAACATGCTAATCAATGACTAGAAGATATAACTTGTCACTTCTTGAGTCTCTCCATCTTTGTCTGACTCCAGTTTGAACATAAAGGCTATAAGTTGTTGAAATATTCAGGACACAAGCTGTTATAGCTCCGCCCTCTGTGCCGGGAGCTGCAGCTCATTTGCATTTAAAGGGACAGACACAAAAACAGTCCGTTTTGGCTCACCCTCAAAAAGTGATAATATAAAAATATCTGTGGGGTATTTTGAGCTAAAACTTCACATACACACTTTGGGGACATCAAAGACTTATTTTACATCTTAAAAGGGTATTATACCACCCCTTTAAGTTGATGATTTGACAAGTGAATATTTCAACATTTATGTAAGCATATTGGCAATAACACTCAAACTATATTTAAGTACAAGCCTGTCTCTGTTGTTTAAGAGGGGAAAAAGTTTCCCGCTTTGTGTCCTACTTTACTTATGTATGCCTGAAACTTATTACTTATTGCCTGAAAAAAAAATCCAGGGTTTGTCCAGAATAGGGCTTTCAGTGTGAAATGAAATTTCTTCATTTTTGCTTTTGACTACGAGACACTCTAAGTTTTCCATTAAAGTATAATGTCATGTTTTGTGGCATTTGGATCCTAATTGAAAGTGTAAGGAAATACTAAACCTGTTACAATACTCCCTGGTCCCCCTTCCTCAAAATAAGCTCATAGTTTGAGCTGTGGTGCAGAAGGTCTTGCTCCTGACATATGAAGCACGGTTGGGGCTTGTGGAGCCTGTGGTCGCGCTCGGTCTGGGTCATGTCCCACTTCTGTTCTCCCTGTTCGCTTCTCCACTGATCTACCAAATAAAGGCGAAAAGATAATAAACAAAGTAAAAAAAAAAACAGTATTACAAACAACATTCAGGCATAATAGGGACCAACTGCAACCCATAAGCATTTGATGTCAAAGTAACCAAGATATGTGCAAATAACAACTTAGAAGCTCATAATACTTGATATCAATATATCAATAATGCAATACCTCACCTGCTTCATTTAAAGTGCCTCTATGCTTTTTTGAATATTACCTTCCATGAAGTGTATTATAGCTGTTTGTGAATGTAAATCGTCTGCAAAGTTTTAATGATCAACGAGTGCACAACAAATAAGGTAATTGTCTCCTAAAAGAAAGAATCGATTCTGAACTGCCGAAACGAGTCGTCAGTAATTCCAGTCTCACTCCCTGTTACATACCTACTTAACAATGTAACAAATTTGCATAATGCCTCTTCATTAGCTGTCTGCGAAGTTGCGAACGACGTCTACTTTGACCCTCAAACACTGTAGTTGTATAAGCTTGGAGAGTTTGGTTCGTGTTGTCGACATGTCGAGAAGACGCTGTTTTCTGCACTGCGAAAGCAAATACACTTTGCATGCACTTCCAAAGGATGAGAACTCGGGATTGAATTGATACGGTATAACCGTCACCATTGTAAAAGGACAATATGCACTGTTTGAAAACTAAAAAGATTGTCAGTTTATGATTTTTGGCCTTGATTTGCCTAATGATGCAATCATCTATACATTCACGACATATTTCTTACTGAAAATGATTAACAACAACAACAACAAAAAAACATCTGTATAAAATTTAGATTCTTTTTCTGGTTGCCAACCTGGGAGCATTTCAGCACCACGGACAGCTCACAATAATAGAGGAAGATTCGTTCTCATGCCATTAAATCAATATATTGTACTTATCAAGACGATCTATAATTTAACTGAGTATTGTAGATAATCATTTAAAAGATCTAACTGTCAGAGATCATAAGACAATAAAACAATCATTAGGCTTTGGTTGAACTTGCTATAATTGGCTGTCTGTGTTTATCTTCAGGTTTCTCGTTGTGTAGAGTCTGTGGGGGTGGAAAAACATTCTCGTTCCTCAAACCATTTAAATGGAAGAATATACGGTTGTTTTTCTCCCGACAGACTTAACATAATAGCATCAATAATAACTTTATAATATCTCCACCTCAAAATCATCCCCATTCCACTATAACAAAAGCTAAAATGCAACCTTTGGTGAATGATCAGAAGGAATTGGATCACAGATTCTGTTTGTGACATTTAATTTGTGAAAAAGCGGAGGGTATATGCAAAAAATTGTATTCCAATACACTTTTATTCATTTATAAGAGACAAGTGCAGATAATTTCTCCCAGGATAATTAGAGACGCATCCAGCTTTGACAAGTTTAAGATTATTAGAGACGGTATGACTCGGTCTGTGTACATTCAAGGAAGCGGCTATCTTTGGAAAGGTTGACATCTCATGAACACAGAGTCTGTAATTTATCTTTCTGTTGAGTGCATTTACATACATTAGTCATCAAGCACCACAGGAGCCTTGACAACAAGATAGGGGAAATTATTCTGTTTTTTGAAGACACATGACACAGTTTGGTGGCTATTAATGGTTAGCCTTAAGAGTCACTGTTTAAAGTGTTGTTTGAAAGGAAATAAATAAATTAAAATATATCTTAAAAAAAACTTAATCTTATTTTATTTCAGCTATAGTTGCCAAGGAAACATTTCTCAAGGCAACATTTCATTTCTGTATTGAAATAACCAAAACTGTGTGACGTTCAGTTTGTTTGTTTCGTTTTCATGGACTTTTGGGCTTTATGTGACAACGATGTACTAAAAATGGAAAAGGTTTTCCTTTGTATTTTTCACGTACACACGACAACATTTTTAAAGGGGTCATATAATGCCATTTTTGTACAAGCTAATATGATTCTTTAGGGTCTAAATTAAAAGTTTGTAATTTACTTTAATTAAAAATTCTCATTAGTATTGTAAGAAAACACTTATTTTACTTGGTCAAAAACAGCTCTGTTTTCAGCAAGCCGTTTCAGTGCATATGACTTTAAATGATCATGAGCTGCGCTCACCCCGCCTCTCTGTTCTGTGTGTACACCGTTTGTAACATAATAACACAATAACCACAACGCGTTGTTCAGTATAAACGTGGAATTATGAATTATATTGAGAACGTCATACATAGAAAACATGCCGTGATGTACCCTGAGTGTAAACCTTAGACGCATTCATTGTGAAGCGTGCAGCTAGCGATTTGCAAAGATTAATATATTAATATAAAGTTTAATAAAACGTTTCACTCACTTCCGTTCTTCTGGAGGTTCAGCAGGAACACGAATATCTGGTACCGATCCTTTTTAGCAAAGCTTCTTAGCAAATCCAGCTTTATACTGACCCTCGTTTATAAAGCAGTCTGGTGTGAGAAATGATTTGCGCAAACATGAGAGCATTGACGTTGCTCGTGTGGAATATTCCCTTCGAAAACAAAACTCAGCCACTGCGTCTTCAGCGGTTCGGATTTAGGAACATTAAAATGACTGCTGTGTTCGTTATTACACCCAAGAACAGAACACCACAATCGCTTAGACGCCATTCTGCTCATAGACAGTGCTCCAGCATATCAACAATGAACGCGCCGGTCCGGTCCGCGCCGCGCAGACTATGATTGACAGCTACCTCATGTGCGAGGGCGGGTCTGTGTTGAAACGCTCCTGTCAATCAACAATCGTGGGAGGGGCTTCCGACCGTGTGACGTCACACGGTCGAACTGCTTGATTTGAGGCAGGGGAAAACATATAAGGAGATTAAAACAAAACCACTGGATGGATTTTTATCATTATATGATGTTTGTGTACAGGCACTGCCAACACACATTTCAGTACAATCAACTTGTAAAAGTGCATGTACCATTATATGACCCCTTTAAAATGATCCCTGTTCACACGGATCCGCAAAAATGACTAAAACAACCGCTGTATTCTGATGGCAGGCCAGTAGTTGGCGATGTCACTTTGTAAAGAAAAGAACACGTAATACGGATGTGCACGATGTCAGCATTTTCACAAACTCACGTTTTTTTTTTTTTATCCCTATATGGTATTGTTTCCAAAAACTTGCACTTTAAAAACCCGTTTTCAAAAGTTAGCATTTTCAGGCCCCTAAAATGCAGTTGTCGTGTAAATGAACGGCCAAAAGCATCAAAAGTTTTCCATTTTTAGTTGAAAACTGTGTCTTGTA